GGCAACCATGACCACTTCTGGGGGTTCTACCTATGTTGTGCGATCAGTGGGGAATAATTAGCATCCCGGCCACTGTAGAGCAATCCCCTCATCCGCCACCGCTGCAAGGACCAAAGCACGGTCCTGAGTGGCGTCAAATGGTTTGGGTCGGCCCCCTAGAGTTCCTGTAAACCTGAAGGGGGGGGTAGCCCTCCCATGACCATCCCAAGCTATAACAATAGGATTTGTCATGCTTTGTCTATTACTCTGCAACAAGGTCTGGAGTTTGGCTATGAAAGTTTATCTAAATTCCAACAAGATTCACCAACTCATCCGAAAGAGTTCCACCGCGCCCAAGTGGGTCAATGAATCCACACATCAACTGAATCTTGGATCCTCTTGTGACAGTTGTTGCCCCCTTAGTCATCCGCAAACGATCCATGGATCCGCAAATGGTCATGTTCAATGGATCCTCTGAGATCTGGCCACCTCTGACCACCCTACCTAGCAGGGTCCCACATACTGGCCCTAGCGGTGGCTCATTCAGAGAAGTACCTGGCCTGGACGCTAGTAGAGTCCAGGCCAGGTAGATGGTCGATGCACTTGTTACTCGTAGCTTCTAGCTACTAGTAGTAATGCCCTTGTTACTAGTAGCGATGCACTTGTTACTAGTAGAGTCCGGTAGATGGTCAGGGTTTGTTTCGCTTTGGACAACTCTTTTGCCATTTGCTCAGATTTGCTCTACAAGCACACCTTTTTTGCCTTGAATGGGCCGTATACTGTATACATCTGTACACTGTATACTGTCTTGTGTGTGGGCAACAGAAACTATTATGTGGGAGTGGAGAATGTGGATAAGATTAAATGTTCATAACCTGAAACCACGCCTTGGGATCGTGTTCTTTTTGATGGCTTGAATGGGTCGCTCGCACTGCATGTCTTTCTCTGTCTGCTTCTCGTTCCACCGTGCTCGACCGTGCCTGGCGTTCGGCAGCCCCTCCGTCCCGCAAGCGCTCCCAAGGGCTATCCATGGCAAGGAATTCGCCCCGTGCTGGTTCTGGGTCTGGGATGGTCTGGGTGTCAGAAGGGGTTCTGGCAGAATGAAGAGCCTCCTAGCAAAGCATCTCAAACATTCTCAGACTCTTCAGGGGACCAGCTTGGAGCTTGGAGACGCACCGATTCCTGACATGTGGTGACAACAAGTCAGTCCAATCCACGGAGTCCTTTCTCATCCTTCAAACAAGCTGGTCTTGAAAGTTTTGATGCAGCCGGTGTGGCCACTCTCAATACAGGCCCACCAAATACCTCATTACACACCCTGCACTTGAATCGGATAAAAAATGCATCTGTGTCGCCTCCAGATCCCCCTCTCTGGAACGGTTTCCAACGTCTGATCTTGCTTTTGAGCGAGTAACAATGTGGTGAATCAGCTCTCCTCTTCTGCTTCACATGGACTGAGTAGTTGATTCGTTTGTGCATTGGCTGGCTGACAAGGTTTTGGTACGACCAAAGAAGTATACTTTAATCAGATTGTTATATCGTCTCTATCCTATGCATCAGTAGGGTAAACACAGCCGACTGTCGAAGCTTGCTACGCAGCCGTGTTACCAGTGTCTCTGAGCCACGAATGCCGGAGAACCCAAACCCTTCAACAGCCGAAAGAATCACAACCTTGTCGAGTCTATATGAAGTCCCTACGCCAGCCAGCGCAAGAACCAAACACCCCATAAACACCTGTGTTTTCTACCGAACTTGTTCAATGGACACCCCATTTTTCACTCTTAAAATGTCCACACTCACGTCTTCCCTTTCCACCTCCCACCATTCGTTCGTTTGTGTCGACGTAACCTCGACGTCGGGGACCGATACCATCGGCATGCTTTTTCCAAACCGAAACGAACACGACTGGAGCCTAACCTGTCAAGTGCTTCTCAAGAACTCCCTGGTTCTTGGATTGCTGGTGGTTGGAAAGGTGGCCTAATTATTATGAACTACTTCAATACCATGCTTTAAGATTTCACTGTAGCTCCTAAGATCCTTGGCCATTGGCTCACTGTTTATAAAGGTACATATGGATATTAAACCTCAGTTCCTCGGCTCCCTCCTAATCAGCTCAATCAGTGGAAGCTTAATCAGTAGCTAGAAAGATCGCTTGGTCCGGATCATCGAGTCATTGGCCCCATCATGGGAGACGAGTTGCTTCCTCTTAAAGCCGCAGAATGCCATGTTTCTGCGGTCATGTCCTGACGCAAGTCCATCCCATGGAACGCACAGGTGGCCACTTTTTGGTCCCAAGCCTCCATTGAACCTTGAGCATGTTCTGGTCTTGTCCAATTTAAACGGCACGCGGCACGCGATATCTAGATCCGACAAAGCAAGCATATACAGCCCACCCTTATGGGTGATGCACTCCACCAGGGCACCACAAATATTCCAGTAAAGGAGCTTCTCACATCAAACACGGACGGTTGTAGCATCCACCAAAGACCAAAGTTGCTCAAGTGCCCGGCTCTGGAAAACCAAGCCCTTTAAACAATCCAAATGCACCTTTCGCAGCCTTTCGCAGGAGCAACTGGTAGTGGTCCTGTGCTAAATTACAAGTCAAGCACAGGTTCCACCTTCTAATTCAGTATGAGGAACACATTCATCAGTCAGTAGATCTGCTCTCGTGCCCTCAGTGTCCTCATACAGTCCAAGCTTGGTCTTGTGCCGGGTCCGTGAGCAATCCGGGTACAGGTCCGTCTGATTGGAAGAAAGTCCGTCTGGTCCATCTACAGGCACTTCGGGTCAGCTGGAAGACACACCATGGCCAAGCAACAACATGAGAGTTCTTTATATAAGTATTGATTTCCATCTTTATCTGCAGCCATTGTGGAAAATTGACATATTATGAAATATTCAATTGGAGGAACGAAAACAAAGCACCAGGTATTGCACATCTGTTCTTTCCCCTTTCAGGCTACCATTTAACAACTCCCGCTGTTGTAAGTGTTCCTTCATGTCTGGTTCGTTTGTCTTCCAAAGCTGGCGCTCAGCGAGCTCGAAGAACACACACTCTCTCAGAATGCGTCGAGGATCGGATGTGCCAGGAGGGAATATGTACAAACTCCAAATGAAATCACCCTGCCCGTCTCAGATTGGAAACTCAACCCTGCCCGTCTCAGACTGGACCATTTGCAAGACCCACATTGGAACAACAACAACAACAACAGGTGCAAGAGGAGGAAACAAAACCGCATAAACCGCTGTGCCCAGTCGCTCCACGAGAAACAAGAACGTGTCTGACGTCTGTTGGTGGATTGTCTGGCTCAGCTGGAAGTTGGGTCCATTCTGATTTGACCAAGATCCAAGTCTCTGACTCTACCAGAACTTCCGCCGAAGCCAGGAGCCCCAAGCACCTCGAGGGTTGGTTCGGGCCTCTTAAAGGAGAGGCCAGGTATGAACGCATGGATAAGCACGGGTTCCTAAAGTGGTCCAAACATGCAGCTTCAGAGTTTGCTGATCTGCGACTGGGGAGCTCATCTGAACATGATGAGTGTCCAATCTTAACCATCAACCAATGCCCAGCAGCTGCGAAGTGTCCAAAATAGCAATTCTCTCAAATTCTCTGGATGTACTAGGGACATCTGCAGATGCGATGAGTATTTCCACAGTGAGGTCATATTTCGTCATGTTCGACTTGACCTGAAGTTTTTTGTGCTTCAACAGAGCATTGGTTTTCCTTTTCAACCCTTTTTCTATAACCCAAGATGGCCCAAGGTCACCAGTGCCGATCCTCTAGCCGTCCACTTCCCAGATCACCACCGTGCCGGTCCGATCCGTCGGTCCTCCAAGGCGCGGAGTCCGAGACCGTCGGACCGTCGGTCCACCTCTTGGCACTCATCAACTCTCCTGACCGGGGAAGCACGAGTCCTGACGTCGGAACGGTGGGGAGGTGGACGAACGGCAAAAGGTGCATCGCTAGTAGTAACAAGTGCATCGCTACTAGTAACAAGAAGCTACTAGGGGCTCCTTGGCAAAAAAATTGGTGGTTTAGATGTGCCACAAATGTTTATCCGCCCTCACAGACTAAACCACCAGAACTATAACATCTCTGACTACTGGTGGATATTTGGAAACAATACATGCAGACCAGGCTCTTCGGGGATAGACTGGATCTTCGTGAGTACCGTAGATAGTAGAAAGCTTGGGATGTCCCTTATCCTTCTTACATCACCAAATACCTCCAGGTGTGCTAAGCAACTACCCATGATTCATGTGTGAACCACCATGGGGCCCTGGGGTCATCACGTGGTAGGCTCTCATCTGTATATGCCAGCAACCAGTGTGTATGTGCCCCCCTAGGACTAGAGCTGGCATCTTGCAATCACAATCTATTTCTTCTGCCCCCCTGCAGACTAACATGCACCGTGAAAATTACCCTGTGGAAGACAGTTTTCCTCTAGAACCCAGTGGTTTTGAGAGACCATGTTGATCTGCACGGGGTAAGCCTGCTGAGTGCATGCACGAGGCTTGTCATGAATCCATTGAGAGATTCGGCGAGTGCCCCTGTAGAATATTATGCTAGAACCGGATTTGTCGAAAAAAGCAACGACCACTTCAACCCAGAAACAAGTACGACACACGAACCAAAGGACCCCAACATTTTGTGTGTGTGCACGTACTAGATTGAACAAAAAAGAAGTGCTCCAAGAAGTGCTCCAACAGGTGCTTGTTCATTGTTCATCCACGCTTGATCAGGTCCCGAGGGAACTCTCGCTCTTCTGGCCCAACGGCGGCTCCATACTGTCATGACACATACTGCACCCCAAAGTCGGTACACTCTGCCCAAGTGACACGCATTACGTTCGTAGCTCCTTGTTACTACAGTGGTTTTAGAGTAGATGGCACAGACCCCAAGATGTCCTTTAGATGGGGGTCCAGTGCCATCTACTCTCAATCCACTATAGTAGCGATGGCCTCCAACCCAATAGCGACGGCCTCCACCTAGTAGCTTCTTGTTACATCACTAACATGGAAGTGGCAACTGGTCCCTTGAAAGACTTCCATGCAACAGCCAGATGTTCCCTTCGACCCACGAAGAACTCGCTGCGACGCTGGGAGAAGAACTCGCTCGCTTTTTGGGTGCTTGTCACAGTGCCTGCCTAAGCCTCAGGTGTGCACACATCCGCTCAGTTGCACGGATGGAAAACAATGGCTTTCTTACTGGCTTGGTACTCTTGTATTTAGACAAATGTCTATCATTGTCTATCTGTCTATCTAACGGGGTCCAATGCCACAAATAACTGCCCTCACAGAATCATTATTGATTCATAGGGTAGTATCTGTCAGTATGTGTAGGGTTCACCTTTGTAGGGTTTCCCACAACCTGCTTTGGCTCAAACCAACACATATGGCTGTAGGCCCAAACCCCTCAGCCCGTTTCGACCTCCGACTCGGTCGTCCATTCGGTGGATTTTCTCCGGTCAACCCAGGTAGCCCGGTTTTGACCCACCCATATCAACGGATCTTCCATCCATCCCTGGGAAAGAATTTCATGGTTGGAGTGACGGAGTGCCCGTGCCCAGTCAGGACTATTGAACAACGGCTCTGTCCATTGAAATCAACCGCATGTCATAAGCGTGATGTTTTCACAGTCTTTTGAGCCCCTATAGGACCCAAACCTTTGTTGGAGCCAGAGCAAGACTTCCCATGCAGTTGCTACAAAAAGGCTTGGTATCGTGGGCCGGTCAAAGGTAGCAGGTCTCGTGAGCTGTTTGAGTCCAAAGTGCAGACTGGAGTCCAAAATGTCCAAACTCGTCCGCAGGTGTTCAGTTCATGGGTGACGTGTGGCGGTTGATACCAATCTTTGTTCCAAGAGAAAGTTGTGATTTCTGGGTCATTGACAGTCACGTTTGGTTGCTAAAGGTCATGCCTGGATTCACGTGCTTCTTTGAGTTCAACAACAACAACAACAACACCACCAACACCAACACCAACACCAACACCAACACCAACACCAACACCAACACCAACAACAACAACAACAACAACAACAACAACAACAACAACAACACCAACAGCAACAGCAACAGCAACAGCAACAACAACAACACATGCAATGGGAACCTTGCATCAGCTTTCGTTGAGTTGGAGGTCATCTAGATAATGTACTGTAGAATATACAGTAGTTAACGCATCATAAACCTGTATGAAGCGGTCACTCTGTGTGGAAATGTAGGAAAGCATAGGAAAGCAAAAACACGCAAACTCCAGGATACTTCGAACATATCGTAGATTTGGAGCACCATGATTCAGCCCTAAAGAAAATACCCGCTCGTAGCATACAAGCTGGTGAGAATTCTCCCTGTCTTTATCTCGACTCCATCCTCCTTGACACTTGTTTACTCTCTCTGTCTCTCTCTCTCTCTCTCCCCTCAACCAACAAACAAGTTGACATTTCATGAACATTTCCTAAAATGAGAAGGTCCATTCCTGACACACCGAAGCATGCTCCGCCCGTTTATCACACACACACACAAAAGTGAGTTTGGGGAAAATTCGGAGAAAAAAAACGATAAAACGCCGAGAGACCTTCAGGAGCTTGTTCAAACGTGGCGAGACACCGTAGGAATGGAACCTCGGAGACCGCTTCCGAACATCGGGGGCTCCATCAGTCCAAGACACCGAGACTTCGCGGAGTCCGCTGCTTTTCTCGGTTCAAATGGAGCGGTGAAGCCCGGTGAAGCTGCTCGTTGTGAAGTATCTGAGCTTGATCTCGGATTTCCTAAGCACCGCCTCTAAGAGAGGATGGCTTTGACACATGCAGGAGTTCTTCCTTCAACAGTAATTAAGGTGAAACCTCAAAATCATCAAAAACAAAACTGGCTTGGTCTTGCTTGTTTTCCTCACTCGTTCTCAGCACCTCCAACTCGTGGTTGGAAACAACATCCACCCACAAGCAGCATGATCGGATCAGCCCTCAACATCCTGCAGGTGGGATAAATAGAACTCCCAGCAGAAAGTACTTTCTATAAGCAAATTTGTAAATCATTGTTGTTTGTTGTTTGCGGGTACTGTCATAGTCTGTCACATGTCCTGCAAGTGTCGAATTCTGGGATGGCCGTGTTCTTTTCCTGGCAAGAGAGGCAATTGTGGCCTGAGATAGTACTATCCCAGCCAGCGATGGTTCAGCAATACTCAGACCTATTATAGAAGTGTCGTTTTGTCACGCAAACATTTCGACCAAGCACAAGCATGTGCCGAAAAGTGCAGCAAACAACACGATGGTGCAAGATTGGGATATTGATATGGACCTTGGGTCTATCCTATTACCTGTAACAGTGGATGATGGTTAGTAAAGGCCTTGCCCCAAAATAGTGATAATTGTTTATTGACTGTTACAGGTAATAGGACAAGCCCAATATGGACCATGGAGCATCATGGAGCAATGCTCGATATATCATATACTCATCGAATACTCTTAGCAACCATAGACCTGAGGACTTCAATTCACCGCCCACCCGCCGGGTCCCTCGGTCCAGGCCACTCGCGGCGCACTTGGTACGGTGTCTCGTAGTCGCTGGGGACAGTGCCCCGAATCTTTCCCGCCTGCAGAGGGCCGAAAAGGCTGGTCCTTTGAAGGACTCCTTTGAGATGATCACGCAGGCCTACTGTTGAAATCCTTCATTGGAGCAATGGCATCGCTGTGCCAAAGAACTCCACCATGTCCGGACAGTTCGCGGCATGTCCGGAGCCCAGACCCTGGGTGCCTTCATCCAGCTCCGCCACTTGGGCGGACTTCTGAGTATGGCCTCGGCACTCAGTGGTTGGAGGCCATCGCTCTTAGGGTGGAGGCCATTGCTAATGGAAACAAAGAACAAAGAAAAGGAAGAAAGGATAAGAAAGGTCTAATTTAGTTTGGCCCCGGCACTCAGTGGAATGGCCCGACCAACGGATCCGAGGTGCTTGTGGAACGGGCGTGCCATGCTGAGTGGGTGGTCGCGCGGCAGAAGGAGGTGCTTTTGTAGAAACAGTTTAGTTTTAAGAACCATACTTGTTGATTGAGGGCATGTCTCTTTCACTTTTGACCTGTGTGAGGCCCCAGTGACCCGAGATTTCCAGCAGCTCAAAGAACCCCCCCTGTTGTCGTCTGCAGTTGGCCTAAATCCTGTGAGCGCCACCATGCAAAATCCGACTCCTCTTCCTTCATCCAAACGACATCAATCACGGAGGCCATGATGTTGTCAGCAACCTGAATGAAGAGATAACCGAAGCCACATTGTTGGATGAGCACTTACACAAGTGATGCAATTGGAGCCAACTCAGTTTCCAAATCCTGCAGGTACATCTCTCCTTCAAAACATTGGAAGTGCTTGCCCCGGGATCTCAATCTGGAACCGCAAGTTCTAGAACTGTCCACGTATTCTTGTGAACTCGGGCCTCCGCTGACACTGACCCTGGGGAGAAAAAACAAGAGACAACCAGTGCGGCCATGAACAATTATTTGACTGTCAAATTCCCTAGAGATGACATCTTCATAAAGCTGCCCCTTTGTCTCGCAGTAAGGAAACCAATCCCACGTCTCTACTCAGTATCATGCTCCCCTGAGTTTTTGCAAAAACTTCGTCATATCGACAGAAATCAAACACGTTCAACCACCGTGGACGCCCAAAAAGGACACGTTGACGCCCTTCGGTCTGGTTCTCCAACCTTCATGTTTGGCCGTGCTTGTAGATCCACCTTGGGACGATGCCGAAACCGGGTGCCACGGTCCGAAGTCAGTCATCTCATGCCACTGTGATGATCATTAGCAACATAGCTGTTTCATAGCTGTTTCCCCAATATGTTCTTTCTCATGGTCTTCCTTCGGGGACCAGAAAAGATGGACCTTCAAATTGCGACATGCTGACATGACTGAGGAGGAGAAGTCAGTTATGCCGAAAGACATTGACCGACCACCAATTACACAATCTATAGATATGCCATACATGCAGCACCACACCAGAACGGAAAACAAACTGCGAGTCCTGTGGTTGAATGGTGAGTCCGGAAAAAAAAAACTGTAACTGCTCGCAAATCTACAGTTGATGGAAGACATATTGCGCCACGTAATGTAGAGTCTTGATTGATTCTAAAAGCACACACATGGTGCCCCAAACCCCGTAAATAGCAACGTTCTTCAGTTCTCCAGATCTCAGGTGGTGCCAAACATTTTCTTGTATGCCACGATGATTTTGGGACACAAACTGTAGTCGACGCGACAATCCGCGGTCCACCGTTTGGACACATGTAGGTGCCTGATCAAAGAAGGACCATGCAGTCGGAGTGCTTCTTCTGCCAGCAAAGCCACCATCGCTATTGGAGCGTTGACTGTCCAAAGATGTCCATACTACACCCGGGAAGATGACCATGTAACCTGAAAATGGTTCTTTGGAATATTTAGAACTAGTAGTAACAAGTGCCACGCTAGTAGTAACAGGTGCCTTACTAGTAGTAGCAAAAAGCTATTAGAATTAAAATACAATTAAATTAAACTTAGACTATATATTTTCCTCTACCAACCCAGTGGTTTTCAGGTTCCATGTGGACCTCTTCCAGGAAGTCCCTAAGCAGCGGCCCCGCTCCCGAGCCGCCGCTCCCTCCGCACAAGCGCGCGAAACTACTGTTACATACTGTTACTGCTTGTAAGCTAATCACTCCCTAACTGTCCAAGTTCATCACAGTCTTTAGTTCTTGGTGTTACAGGTATATCACATCAAGCCGTCATCCACCCTCTAGCACGAAGGATGATTTGCATGGCATCTTGCTTTGCCTTCCTTTGAAGCCTTTGGAGTACTTTAACTTGAGACCCTCTCTTGCAACCGTCTTTTCTGCATAGAACAAAGGCCCACATACACTCCACGGCTCCCCACAAAGAAGTATTTTTCCGATGCTCCGAAGCTCGCGAGCACGGGAGGGTCTATGATGTGCCTGCCCATACCTGTCAACGGTAGAAACCTTGAAAGGGCCTAATCATATCATATCATATCGATTCTACGGGGTCCGCTATAACAAGATATAACAAGTATAACAAGCACGGACCAAGCAGTACGGATCAAGTGCAACATCCTCCTCTGCCAATCCCAGCACATCAATTCCCAGCTGCATGAACATCTGCCTCTTGCCACATGTCAATAGGATCGCCCGCACTGAGCCGCTGAATTTGCGACGAAGGCCGGACTTGGGGGCAAAGTGTTTTTGTTCAAGGGATTTTGACACGAATCTGGAGAGTTAGGTAGAGGTGAATCAGCCAGGACCTTCTGTCAGTGACCTCTCTGGAGTTTCTGTCTGTTCAGGGACGAAGCAAGTGACCTCATCCTGCAGTCTCCTATGGTCCTGTTTGCAGGTCCTGGAGGTTCCGGTTGGGTCTCCTTTGGAATCAACAAATATAGACTCTCATAATGACAACACTCTGGTCGGTTACTCTGCGTCTCGTTCATCGACCACAGCAGTTACGGTCAAGAGGTCTGATGGTAACAGGTTCTCCAAGATGTGCTTCCGGATGCTTGAGGAAGCCGAGTGTTGCCCATTTGGCCCGACGCGAAAACGCCCGAGTTTTGTCCAAGATTTGGATCTGAATCGATTTTCAGCTTTGCCAGAACTGAGACTCCAAGAATTCAACGACCCGTGTGTCGAGTCCAAGGCTTAAGGTCCTAGGACGAAGGGGGTGCTTAAGGGGGAGCTTGGAGGGCTTAAGGGGGGGGCTTGAGGGGGCTTTGCCGAAGGCTTAACCTAAGGTCTTCGGTCGAAGGGGGGCTTCAGCCGGGCTTCGCCGACTTATCAACGGATATCAATGGTATCTGTCATCCTGCACAGGCTTGAAAAAGAAATGAGGGATCGACCAATAGAGATTCCTTTGGCTTCAGTTCCTCATTCCCTACAAATGACGAACCAGTCCGTGCAACATTGCAGAGATCACCAAGTGGAACACCAGTGACAAATCTAAAAAGACAGCTATACTGTAGCATTCTTCATGCTCCGTGGCGTCCTCTTGTTGGCCAAGGAGCTCCAAATTCTTCGGTGTGAAAAGGGTAAAGTCGGTTGGCCTTAGCATGTTCAAGAATCCTTCTGACAGGCTGAATGCTTCTCAAAACAGGTCAAAACTATCTGAATCTTCAAGAGAGACGCAGCTCCCAAGTTCACCATCGTTTCACCGGTATCGTTCTTTTGAACATTTGGAGAAACACTTGGTAGCACTGGCCAGGGGACAACAAAAACCAACAACAACTGTTTGACACAGCTGACTTTTGCGTCAAGCAAAATGGACTACGAAATGCACCTGACCGAGTCTGAGACTGATCAGGACCAAAAATGGACTTCTTCTTGGGGAACTTCTTCTTTCTCACCTGCCAAATCGCAAATGAGCACGCGGATGTTGAAGAAATGGCATTCCACAGTCTGTTTGAGCCACACTTGGATGAACACTTTTTAACCGAAAGGTGCCGTCATCATGCACAGGTGTTCAACAAAGACATAATTTGGTTGTACAGTCCTGAATGAACAATGCAAACATGCAATTTGTCATGCACTGTTGGCTTGGGAAGACTGGAAGCATCCTCCTTTTGCTTGTCAAGTTCTTGGAATGAACCACTGAATCGCACAGATTAGAACTGATCCTATGAGCCGTTGAGGACTGAAACGTTTACCAGGCAGATCCTGGGGCCACTGGAGGTTTCAATGGGGTGATGCCGGGATAGGCTAGCAAGAACAGAATTGTTGACGAGACATTAAAGAGAAACGTGGTTGTTCCAAAAACAAACCCTCAGAAAAGGGAAGCGTGGCGGCACACTACACAAACAAAGCCTCAAGGATGCAGCCACACAGTACTGCGAAGAGATAGGTAAGCAAGACAATGTGTCAACATTTGTAAAATTAATACAGGTATTTATATAACTTATAATATATAAGTTACATCTAGTTTTTTAATAGTTCTTGTGGATGCGACAGCTCTTTCGAGGTGCTCTGAGAGCACATGCTGACAAAAGACGCACAGTGCCACTGCGCTCACATCGATCGCATCGGACGAACGTCTAAGAACTAGACAACACTGGCACCATGGTCTTTCTATCCTCAGCAAAACATGCAAGACTTCTTCTACCCATGTCATTTTGATCTAAAAACTAAGAATAGGGTGCTTGCCCAGCTTGCTTGCTCTCTCTCTCTCTCTCCCTCTCTCTCCTCTCCTCTCCTCGCCCTCTCCGATGCCGTCGCCTTGTCCCGTTGCACCACATCCCAGCGCTTCCAACCATCGGGATCGATCCAAACCTGACGGAACCCGGCGCTGTGGGACGGACCCGCGAGATGGTCACCGCCGCCAACACACCGGCACGTCCATCATTGCTTTGAACCTGTTGGAGAGGTGTGAAATGAAAACACAATTTTTTAATGGATCTATGATTCTATGATTCATCCAGGAGTCTATTTTCTTGCAGCATCTAGACGAGTCACTGCCTACGGCACCTGGAAAGTAGACTCACTATAGTAGCAACTAAAGAACTATACAACAGGTTCCCAGGTCTAATGACAACGTTTATGCGCCCTACTACAGTAGCAGTTGACTAATGAAATGGTGGCAGGCCTGTTTGATGAGCATCTCCACAAACTTGGGGTTCTGCTGCATGCAAAAAAAAGATCTTCTTGGTACTTTAACTATCTTTGAATTGATGGGTGTTCGACTGTCAATAGGACACATGAAGTTCCGATTTATATCAATTTACAATGTGGAAAGACTATGAAAGACTTGCATAATCTTGCACATGGACAGGGGCACTGCACAACTCCTCAGAAAACAGAACCAAAAACCGCGGATTCAATCATACACCTTAAGCACTTTCTGAATTCTTCCGGCAGCAAAGACACGCACCAAACCAACCGGCGCTTGAGACCAGCGGCGACCAACCCCGTGGTGGCCACTTTCCAAGGGAAGCGAGTCACGCCTTGGCAGCGCTAGCGCCCATTGGGCGCCAGCGCAGGCTTGGCCGTTTGTTCGCTGATGGGCGGTGGTGGTCGTTGAGACGAACATTCCAGGACGCGGTCATAGGATGGTTCGGAGGTCGCCAAAGGCATTACACGTTAACGATGGATCTTGGGGGCACCAGACTGGTGCATCAATAACAACTAGTGACTCGAGGCTGTGTCGGTACCTTTCCTTCTGTTGCCCCTTCTCTAGTCTACTCTACCCGGGCGGTCTAAGACTAAAGTCCCGCTCGGCCATGTCAGCAAAATCGTTCCACTGTCCACACCACCTCAAAAAGGGATCAGGGTTCATCTTCCAATTCTGGTGACTGGTTTACAAGAACAATCAAGAACATACAGCACGCATATTCCATCATATTCCTACTGTGCAGTGCTTTTCTATTTGTGTATTTTGGTTTTCTAGTTCTCTTGGGCGAATCCGCTTAGCTCGATGTCGCTCAAAATCCCAACAACTCAACACAGAGTTTGATTTCATGCCATGTGTGTCTTCCTTGCTTGTACTCTCCCTCCAACAATCATGGAAGTGGATGGCCTGGACCTTGGAAAAGCATTCTACAAAGGGGGGTTCACAGCCATGTTTGTTGGGAGGGTAAATCATCTTCCACCTTGTATTCTTCAAGTCATCGAATTCCTTCATGCTACATGCTACAGATTCCTGGTCTTGGTGAATGCAACAACTTGGTATGGTACAAGAGACTAAAGAACTCTGGAGAATATCATGCAATGGAACTCCAGCAATCGGTTTAACTTCGGTGTCCACAGCCCTCCCCGCATTTGCCCCTGCCCTCCCCACCTCCCTCAAGAATTGACCAGCATCTCCAAAGCTTTCCAAATGAAGGATCACTTGAGGTGGGTCTGGGTGACCAACATGTCCAAATATAGAATTATTTTCTTTCAAGCTCTTACTTTGTTTGCATTTTAAACATTGGTCCACAGGAGTCAGGAGGTTGTTCGACCTTGGTGTAATGTACAGCTGACCCATGCTAAGCAACCCCAAACACTGGCTCACAGGGTGCCAGTACCTGGACTCTCCATGAACCCATAAAACGAGGTACTTTGAGGGTCAAGGTATGTGCCTTAGAGAGAACAACAAACACACGGTCTCATATCGTCTCGTCTTCATTTCTATCTCTACATGTGTACCCAACCAATTTGCCAAGGCATGCCAAGTCTCTGTTCAGCGGAGGAACCACAATGATCTTCTCCAAAACACCCGTCTGGAGAGACAGGAGGCCATTGAAGTCTGGAGTCACCCCGCAAAGAAATTTATTTGGAGCCGGAGTCATCCGCCAGGATCTTTGGTCGAAGGAAAGGGGCCTTTTGGATCTCGTGAGTTGCTTTTGGAAGTATAAACATGTGGGCCCCTGTTGTCTGTTCAAATGTTCGAGGAAGGGGATGGAAGCTGGGTAAGCAATCGTAAGGCTGGCGTCATTGCGCAATTCTCTGCAGGGGTCATTGCATCAAGCACACTATTGGAGTTCTAAAATCGGTGGCACTGCAGAGTCTGCCCCTGGGAATTCTCACAAGTCCTCAAGTCCTCGAAGTTCGGAGTTCGATTTCGTGGCAGACTCGGTCTTGGCAGTTTCGTGGACGACTTCCACTGGGCGCCACACCAAACGGGCTGCTGATGGCATGTCCTTGAACTCGAAGTCCAGAAAGGTGTAGTTGAGCCTGTCCTTCGCAGGGAACGTTCTCTACATGCTTCCTTCGCAAAATCAGGCTGTTTTTCCTTATCCAACGCCTTTTCTTGGAAGCATTCCGAAAACATTCCAACAATTTGGGATACTGCTGTTGATATCCGTTGATACTATTTCTGCTTAGCATTGTTTGGCTAATGTCTGCCAAAATGTCCGAACACGGGAAACTAATGGAAACTACCCACCTGCTGTCCTTGGTCTGAATGTCTACACAACCCGCATGAAGGGGCTTGAATGGTTTTGCAATTGACACTGTCCATAATCCATATGTCACCATTACCCTAAGCACGTGAGTTGACATGCTGTATGAGTTTGCCTTCAGTGCCAAAATGAATGATATGATATCTGTGCACTTCAAGAATTCTTGGAGAACCCAACCATTTTAGGCCATTGCATGTTCTTGATGAGTTTGCCAGCTTCTGGTGTCCCAGAAATGATCCACATGCCGACATCTTGTCCAAACATCATAGATCCATTTAAACCACAAAGGGACCCGGTCGTCTGCAGGCCGTCTGAGACCCTGGTGTTCCCCAAGCAATATGCATCCTCGCATCGAAAAAACAAGGGGTAGCTATAGGGTCCCTGCTCAGGGTTTTGATGTCTACAATGGTGAAGGCTGTGGGCTGTGGCCTGGCTGGTCAGGAATTGCATGCTATATAGCCTTCATGTCAGGGTGGCACGACAGGCACGACCGTAGTTATCTTACTTTATGCTAGCCTGAGGTTAAGTTGCAAAGGCATGAGTATTTTCACAGCGTCAAAAGGGCTTACAGTCAGGGGAACCTCTTGGACAGTCAGTGGGTTATGTTTTTCACGGGACCAACCATGCCCAACAAAGCCACCCTCTGAAGAGCAAGATTCGGCCACCAATTTGATATCATCTCTGTAAGTGTCCATGTCTGGACCAACGAAGTATACGTTGGCGTCCTTGGGAGCAGAAGAATTGAAGAGTGAGTGAGCCATGACATCAAAATCGCCCAACACCATCGACCATACGCGGAATTGTTTTTTGGGCAATTCTTTCCAACATCCGTCTGCCAAGCCACAGTGATGAGCAATTCTCGCATGTCCAAGGACAACTCTTCACTGGTCTGATCCCAAACATCGATGTCCTGCACAAAACATGGCAACGTTCGATGCCCTGCCCTTCTGGGGTCTCGGTCTCATCTCGGCAGCTTTGAATTGGCAACACAGCAACACGCGATGACTGGCTTATTCAGGCGATCTGGTCTTAAAACTAAGAGACCCCCCAAAGCCCCAGGCCTCGATTTTTACTTGATGTGACCTGTTGCCAGTGGGTTGTGGAGCATTTCTGCAAGACACAATCCTGCTTTCCAAAAGTGCGGCCTCTAAACTAATCCTGTCCACCCTTTTAAAAAACACGCCCCCCCCTATTATTAAGAGAAACTCGGTCGCATTTATATAATAGGGGGTCCCTGAAATCGGTGGGTCCAAAATAGGGTCACCTGGGAAGAGCTTCAAAAAAAAAGTCACCCAAACAAATCTTATATAACATCCTTTATTAAGCTCGTATCAAAAAATCAAAAAACCTCCAGATCGAAGGGTCTTGAGTCTTCCTTCTCCCCTACAAAAAACTTTATTAGAATACTGATTCTTCATTAGACTAACAACTAAAGCTTTCCAAAGGTGATGTCGCTGTGCCATGCGGTTTTGCGCGACCTCGGTGGCAAGTGCGTTTGTGTGAGTCCGTGCCATTGGGGGAAGGAAAACCTGCTGGTGTAAATGCGGCGTGTCATGGTGGATACACAGGGCGGACAGGGGTGGGCAGTTACGGTTGTTTTTGGAACCTAATAAAAAATACTACCCCCAAAATCGACCATGTTGGTAGTTTAGTAGCGGTTTGAAAGGGCTAAGGGCGGCAATATATAAAAATACAAACCGAGTTTCGGACGTGGCGTTTTTTTTTTAATTGGGGAGGATTTATAAATAAGTACTCGGGATTAATCTGGAGGTTGCCTTTTGCTAGCCCTTGAAGATTCAGGGACTGGAGGCCCAGCGGCGGCAATGCTTGTTCTATTGAAATTTGTTATCAAACCGACAGGCGTCTCCTCTCGATTCACTTCATGCTGCTCGGCTTTCCTGCGAAGGCGGAGCCAACATGCCCAGGTTTGGGATCTTGCCAACCTGGGTAACCTGACAGATTTTAGTCTTTGATCTTATAGTCTTTCAAGGAGACCTATTGAGCTCTATAATGACGTGATATGGACCGTATATGCCTGTGTATGGGTTGCATCAAATGTTCATCGCCAAAACCTATGGGCGACCCACACTGTTTGATATCACTCTGAAAGCTGCCGTCGCCCAGCTGACCGTGCCCTGAGACAGAATTCGCAGCGCACAGGTTGCACAGGTCGTTCCGTATGTTCTGTTTTTCCCAACCCAGGCATCCAAAAGCTAGTTAGAAAAAAGCCATGCGCATCCTGTAGGGTATTGTAGGATGTCATCTAACTGGGGCCGTGAAATCATCATGATGGTTTTGGAGAATGAACATCTTGAGGTTTTCTGGTTTGTCTCTGTGCGCAGGCTGTGTCTTTGACGACACGACGACGTGGGTTCGTCCGGTGTGTGCAGAAACGGAGTTCCGGGAATTTTCCTGGAGGGATCTGGGATCGAACATATGGCATCACAATTAATGTTTGATATGTCAACATCGTGGAAACGCATGGCAGTCAAAGACCAAAACATCAGGCAGATTCATTATAAACTCACTCTGCAGCAATATGGGTCGCCTCCCCCACCGTTGACCGCTTTGGTTCCAAGTGTCAGTCTCTGGGGGTGGTCAACCAATCGGAAGCCGTTGTCTACGTCGTTCGCTCCATCTGTGGAGATTCCACAGAGAAAGTCAAATCTGCGATAGCTGGTTGAGAATGGTTCATCTTCAAGATCTCCAAAGTCAAGTGAAAACGCCAGAGATTCTGGAAGCAAGAAGCCCACTGTCGTGCCTCATCAAGCGGCTCTCACTTCTCATGTAGCCTCACTCGTGCGCGGCTGGAGCTAGAGGTTTCGGTACTTTTCCGCACGGCCCCGGGATACGCCACGAAGGTATGGGTTCGCGACATCGGGTACCATCCACCCCAATGATCAGTCGTTTTGAGCGCATATCAGTCGATAAGACAAAAAAAAGGCGGATGAACTTCCAGGGCCTCTTGAGGTTGAAGTTCCGATGTCATTCCAGGGCCGTTCCAATATAATTACTTAATTAATCCAGATTCCAGATGTCCAAACACCGAGGCCTTGGAACTCATCTTCGTGGTTTCTGCTGAACATGGCGGAGGGTCAAAACCCTCCAAGGGCTCACGAAATAGGTCTCCACTACTGAAATGAACAGGTTTCAAGGAGCGGTTTGGAACAAGGAAACCTGGCAACTAACCACCGCAGCCAACATGAATCTCCTCAAAGACTCAAGGATCCCTTTGTTTACAGCGGGACAATACGGTCCATGAGGTTCTGCCTTGCTCTCACTCACCTATATTAACGGGAACTATCAGTCAACCACGGTCTGTGAAGAAATATACTACTGGACATCAGAAACAGCACGTTTGCCCAAATTTGTGTAGCCAGCGAGCCTCCAACGAACAGGAGGCATGTGTGGCTGAGTCCTGAAGGAAACACGTGCCTTTTGATTTTCGGTCCAACAAAATCTGTGGAGCCTGGAGTTTCCCACCATCAACATGACGATGGGCTGATGGGTTTGTCCATGTCATGAGACAAAAGACGCCACACCAAAAGGTTTAATCACTTTTGCCGCCACCTATTGAGGGACGATTTTACATGCACCATGCATCAGTTCAATTGAAACTGACAGGCTGACTGACAGGCTGCCATCCCGAAGTGCATGGTGAAGGGGCGGCACCCTCGGCTTGAAACCGATGAAGTGGAGCGAGCAGCTCCCTGCCCCAAAAGTGATCAGTCCTACAAGAAGAACTCCGAGCACTGCACCTGAACAGCATGTGCCTTCTTGGACAGCTTAGGGCATGGTGCACAAGAGATAGCCCGTTTCCAAACCAAAATTTGGCAGGTTCAAATGAATGTCAAGGTGTGTCACAGCACTTTTGTAATCTTTTGTACCTCTTCAATTTCTACAGAACATGTATCTCTCCAGAGTCGTCCCAGTCAGTAAGACTGTCTGCGTCCCTTAAAAACATTTAAAAACAATTTCAGTTCTTCACCTGCGAAGGGACCGCGTCATCAACCGCGACATGGGACTTTAGACTTGGAGGCTCCAAATTGGATTCTCTCTGTTTGCTCCTATTTTCAGGCTGACGAGTTAATCACCAAAAGATTTAATTGTTTTCATAAATCCTTTCATGGATCATTTTTGGCTTAGGAGTTGGTTTACAAGATGGCTTTCGGAAGATTTCTTAAACGTAATGGAAAACATCTTAATCTCTTGGCGTGGCCGTCTCGCGGCTTCGTGGCTTCGACGCGTGGCTTTTACCAGAATGCCGGGCTTTATGAAAGGTACTTAAAAAAGCAAGTTTTAGTCTACCAAACGGCCTCTTAAAGCATATCGGTCTACAGGAAAACATGCTAAACCCAAATTATGTATGAAAGCTTCAAAGGATTTCTATATAAGCAAAATCAGTTCTACCAAAAGGCTTCTTCAAGCAAATAGGTCTCAATGTGGTCTATGGAGTCTTCTCAAAGGTAGCTGCTGTGATCAACCAAGCACATCAACTTCCCTCCATGAGTAGCAGCTGGGGATGCAATCCCAACAAGCGACACCTTTTGCAGCTCCTTCCCAGAACTTCCAAACAGCCTCATGGACATACCCACAAGGGCCACTTGAGAACAGGAAGAAAAGGAACTCAAACACGGATTCTTGAGTCATAATTATCAGAACATGTACAGCAGTAACCTCTGCGACAATAGGTAGAGGTAGTAGGCTGCGCCTCGACTTGCCATGTTCTCTCGGCGGATCGTCACCTCTGCGACGGCGTCACGGCGACGCCGTCAAGCTGAAGGACGCAAACGGCGGTGCATGGGCCGACCGTGCGGTGGGTGTTTTCTGTGCATAGGACCTATATACAGTATAACTCCTGACTCAAATCCATTCAAACGTCAATTGCAACTTTGGCACACCCCCATCTTACCACTTGGGATGTGAGCCAGGCGATCTCTTCATTGAAATCAACATCTGATACCCTCGGCCGACACTGAAGTCTTAGGTATTTCTGGGGCTGGAATAAGAACCGGCACCGATCATCGTCAAACTATATATATTTTTTTTTTGAGGAAGCTCTTTTTGTGGAGAGCTAGCAGCTAGCAAAAAAAAGGCCCCAAGCATAGAGCAGAACAAATCAACATCACATTCATCCTAATCCCATTGTATCGGTTCCTACGGCTTCCCATGTGCATACCTGCCAGGGTCTTTCCCTGAGGCTTCCGCCATGGCCCGGACCGAAAGTGTGGATGGCGTTCCCTGATGGGTTTGTACCTTCAACAACTCATGACAATGTGCAGCAAACGACTTGACTTGACAATTTCATGAGCTTCTGTCATCTGTTGATTATATAATTGAAAATTCAAAGAACTGATGCGGATAATACAACATTGTGGCGGCCTGCAAATGTTTGTCTAAAGTTACAGCCAACATGTGACGTGATTTGTAATTGCATCCATCCGAGCAAGCCAAATAAACAATTAATTGGAAAATTTATCAATCTTGACTCTGGGCAACCCTCTGATGGAAAGCACTGCATGAGACGATCGCTTGTTCACTTTGGCGATCTTCTCTTGAACCACACCGCGGAGGTCCAAACAAGGAAAAGAAGGCACCAACTGCTTGGGCAAATCGCACATGAAAACAACACAATGGTGTCAATAGTGCACCAAAAGCTGCAGCCTTCACCAAATTCCACACCAGTATTGGCGTCAAAAATCCGTCCTCTCTTGCTCCTCTTCTGATCCTTCGTCAGGGATCTCAAAGGACTGAACCTTGGAACATTCACATCATCTTTTCGGACGAAAAAGAACACCACGGGAGGACCTAAGTGCCGTTGTGCCGTTGTGCTGCCTAACTCTTGTGCAGCCCCTTCAACCTGTGGGACTTAGAAGGCGGCATCTTCCAGTAGTAGCACAAACCCTGCTGGGGGGCTCCTGGCCTTACTATTATGAACAAGAACGCTAGTAGTAAGCTGGTCTTCAACACCCACATTGGGCCTAGAAGACTCCATGACCTCCTAGTCCGACGATATGGGATGTCCTGCGTGTCCCATTGGATTGAAGCACCTTGAATCTAGAATGCCACAAAGCCCATAACATAATATCAATTTACATTGTAGAAACACTGAAGAACACTACACACATGTTGAGGATATGTTCACTTACTGCAGATTTCGATAGGGGTGCCGACGCTAAAGCCACCCTATCACTCAAAGCACCCCTTGACTAGTTCACTTCTGAATTGACCTGCAGCACCAATGACTGTAATTGCAAAATCTGAACCAGTTGAATACTAGTTGAACTAAAGAATCAGTCCATATCAGGCTCTGAAAACCAGGGTCCATGTTTGAAGGACATTGAAGCGAATCTATGGTGCGTCCTCACATTCCACTCCCTGATCTTCTGAGTTTCCAGCCAAAGAGGTTGTACTGAGCACTGGTGTTGGCAGGTAGGCAAGTAATGACAAATAGAAATCGAATCCATGCAACACAAGTGCTGAGTGGATTACCAAATCATCCTTCGATCCTGCAAAGCATCTCGCATCTCCTTTCAATACCAATTGAAAGTGGAACCCGGGTTCTGTTGCAAACACCCCTATAGCGAGAAAGTACCTCCAAAGCCTCCGCGCCTTTGTACCGAACCGCTCGTGCGATTGGGCCCGGTGACCGTCGAGAGGGAGTCCAAGGACTTCTCCGATCGCCTCGGGAACGCACCGTCGTCGGTCTGGTTGGGTTCCTATCCCGTTAGATGCGCTATCTTTTTAGGGTCGGATGATGTTGTATGTCCAGAGTGATTGAGTCCTGCGAACAAGTGTGTATAAGTGTGTATATAATATCTATATATAGTTTGTATAAAAAATAATACAATACAAAAAAAACATATATATATATAT